GTTATGCCACTGGAAATTACTAAGAATTCTTAGAAACCCACTTTTTTAACATGGACACAATGACTTTGCAAACGAGACTAACTTGATGTGTATTTTGGACTGGTATCCTTTCAACCGCATCATATATCATGATTCTGTAAAAATTCGTTCACGCATCACTCATTTTTGTATTGACTCGTATTTTCCCTCCTATTGTTCACGCATTAGAGATGGTCAGATTACCATTTCCGCTGGGACCCAAAGGACTTTGGGGGAATTACGCAGGTCAACATACCTCCTCATATGATCTGGCGGCCACAGGTCATCTTGTACAACAGGTAGGTCGGTAAATCTCGGTGTGTTATAACAATACCGGGAATATTAATGGACAGGTAGATAGTAGATGAGAATCGATTTCACTCATCTCGTGAAAGTGTACGTCCGGTCCATTTGCGATTGGAGAAACGTAATCTTAGGCTATGTCTGGCTGCGTCAGAAAAGACCAAACCAGGCCTGACCCCGCTTCATCGGGAATCTGGGTCTGATAGGTAGACTCATAACGGATCTGGCCGAAGCCCGTTGTGTAGTAGTGAAAGCGTTTCTGGGCTCGTTTTGGTATGGTTCTGAACTCAAGTGGCTTCAATGACATCCACTTAAATGGACATTTTCACCAGCAAAGAGTCCCGTAGATCTCTGATACCTCTGGGCCTGACAGATTAGCGGTCGAGTTGACGATGACTATCGCGCTGACCAGATGTCCAACACAATATGCCATGGCAACACAAGTTGAATAGACAATCCTTGACTGTCCAGCACACGAAGTGGTAACCATGTCCTCCGTCTCGATTGGCGGAATGCCATGTTTGCTGCTAGGGTCAATTTCATTTATCCTCAACTCGGTTGACAGGATAGTTGAAAAACATTTCTTTTTTTCCGTTTATAGGTGGCTTTTAGAGACTACGAGTAGAGCATATATATAAAATATAGTCATCCTTTTTGACGGCCTCGTTCTCGACAAACTTAAGGTTGTAAGAAATAAAAAAAAAGAACTCTTTATTGATATATTATAAACGCGAATTTCAATTTAGAACAATAAGTTAGTTGGAAGAAATCCGTGAAATGATATCACCTGAAACCGAAGGAGTATTGCCATCGAATGAAGACTGTTGGATTGGGCCCGTGAACCCGATGAATCTGTGCTAAACTTTCGTCTGTACTGTCATGGCAGACATTATCAGAGCACGAATCCATACTTCACGAAATAGCGCAAAAATATACTAATTCAAGAAATATTCACAGTTTAACAGTCTTCATCACATGGCAATCGTCTTTGGTTTCCAGTGAGAGTGTCTTTCGAATTGCTTTTAGTCAAATTTACCTTCGAAATGAAAAGTCAATTCACAAAACTTAAGGCTCATCTGATATGGAGGCCTCGAGATGAGGATTAAAAGCTTTTGTGGCTTATCTTTGATAATTATTTAAGTTATACCATATTTGCTATTGTTTTCACAAGTTCCAGTCTGCAATTTCACTTGAAAATGTCCAGGAATCTTTGAGGTGGTACGAGAAAATAGCCACAACTTAAGCTGGCCAGTCGACGAGGCTGTTGTGGAAAAGAGCAAAATGCCAAACAGCCAAGCGGTCACTCGGACGCTGAGACAATTAGCACAATGTCCTTTGTCGGCATGTTCTCTGTGTGTGTGTGTGTGTGTGTGT